AGGGAATAAAGACATAGAACACCTATTTAATGAAATAATAGCTGCAAACTTTCCAAGTCTGGGGAGAGATATGACACACATACCCAAAAAGCCCAAAAAGTCCCCAAAGAGATTAAATCAATAAGGTAGTTGTCGTTATTGGGTAGTTATACACACAAGGCACATTATAGTCATATTGTCAAAAGTCAAAGACAAAGATAAAATTCTAAAAACAGCAAGAGAAAAGCATCAAGTCACAAAAAAGGGAATCCCCTTTAGACTAACAGAGATTTCTATGCAGAAACCCTACAGGCCAGAAAAGAACAGGAGAAAATATGTGCAAGGGATTATTACCCAGAATATACAAACAACTCAAGAGCAAAAACTCACATAATCTGATTTTAAAATAGGCAAATGTAGCCGGGCACAGTGGCTCACAACTGTAATCCAGGCACTTTGGGGCGCCAAGGTGGGTGGATCATTTTTGAGGCCAGGAGTTCAAGACCAGCCAGACCAACATGATGAAACCCTGACTCTACTAAAAATACAAGAATTAGCTGGGAATGCTGGTGCATACCTATAGTCCCAGCTACTCAGGAGGCTGAGGCAGGAATAGCTTGAAACTAGGAGGCAGAGGTTGCAGTGAGCCAAGATTGCACCACTGCACTCCAGCCTGGGTGACAGAGTGAAACTCTGTCTTGAAAAAAATAATAATAGGCCCGGTACGTTGGCCTAGGCCTGTAATCTCAGCACTTTGGGAAGCTGAGGTGGGTGGACCATGAGGTCAAGAGATCCAGACTATCCTGGCCAACAATGGTGAAACCCCATCTCTACTAAAAATACAAAAATTAGCTGGCTGTGGTGACACACACCTATAGTCCCAGCTACTTGGGAGGCTGAGGCAGGAGAATTGCTTGAACCTGGGAGGCAGGTTGCAGTGAGCCAAGATCGCACCACTGCACTCCAGCCTGGCGCCTGGCAGCAGAGCAAGAGACTCTGTCTCAAAATAATAATAATAATAATAAAAGGCAAATGAGCTAAACAGACACTTCTCAAAAGAAGACACACAAACGACCAAAAGGTATATGGAAAGATCCTCAACACCACTAATGATCAGAGAAAAGCAAATCAAAACCTCAATAAAGTATCATCTCACTACAGTTAGAATGGCTATTAGCAAAACAAACAAAAATGCTGGTGGAAATGCAGGGAAAGGGGAAAGCTTATACAATGATGGTGGGAATGTAAATCAGTACAGCCATTATGGAAAACTGTATGGAATTTCCTCAAAAAACTAAAAATAGAACAATCATATGATCCAGCAATCCCAATACTGGGTATTCAAAAGAAAGGAAATCAGTATGTCAAGGAAAGACGTGCATTCTTGTTTACTGCAGCTCTATTCACAACAGCCAAGATATGGAATCAACGTAAGTGTCCATCAACAGACAAATAGCATGTGGCATATATTCACGATGAAATACTATTTAGCCAATTAAAAAAGACAACATTCTGTCATTCGTGGCAACATGGATGAGCTTAGAGGACACTGTGGTAAGTCAAATAAGACAGGCACAGGAAGATAAATACGTTTTCACTTATATACAAGCTTAAAAAGTTGACTCATAGAAGTGAGGAAGTGTAGTGGGAAGAAATGGGTAGCCAAAGGCTAGTTATCAGATACAAATACAGAGTTAAATAGGAGGAATAAGCTCTAGCGAAGGAGGCCAGTGGACAGTGCCCAAAATAAAGAATAAGTTTCCATCAGGCTAGGCCCTTAGGATAAAATGAGTATTCATCTGATTTCCAAGAAACACATTAGTCTACTGGAATATACACCAAGGCCCAAAGTCTATAAAAGGCCATTTTGTGAACAGGGGGCACACAGGAGCACATGACCAGTCTACTCAGTAAATTCTCTTTTAGGAGGCTAAGGTTAAAGCCTAAAGAGTTAGGCCCAAGGAAAACCATAAATGATCATGACTTACTATAAACTGAAGAAAATGGAAATATGTATCATTCAAAATCCTGGCAGAAAAAATTAAATAAAATGAAATTGGGTGACTCAAAGGCAGTTTAGAGAATATGCTATTATACAAAAGTATGCACAAAATACAGAGCAACTACAAAGCTGGTAGGACACTTAGGCATGAAGAGACAAGAGGAGGCAGTAGTTACCAAAACCAGGGAGGAAGATGTGTAGAGAATGCCACCCAACAGGAAAGCCATCACTTTTACCCAGGGCACCCTGCAGGAAAGAGGCCTGAGAGTAACACCCTAGCCTCATTCTATCTTCTTTGACCTCGAACTGGTGTTCCCACTCACCAAGCCCAAGCAGGAGCCCATGGATGAAATCTAGACAGGTTAGGTCCCTGGGGCAGAGAATAGGGTAAACAAGGGTGGGAAACAATATGGAAGGGCAAACAGAAGATTATCCAGAATGTATGTAATAACTCCAATTATTTCTGTGACATCTTATTTCAGAAAAGTTTGGCATTTACTGCTACTTTAAAAAAAACATGAAAAAAATACATAAGGGACTAAGTACAAGGAACTCTCCATAGACCCATGGCACATGGTATTAAAACTTAGGCACTGAGATGTATTTGGCTTTGGAAGAAAAACAACAACAAAAACTCAGGTAGCATTACTTGCTAGTAGGTTTCTTGAATAGCATACAAAATTCCAGATGATCATAATATTTCACACCTCAAGAACACCATCTATCTACTTATTCTACCATTTTGCAATGACGCACGCTAATAAGTAGCAGTCTTAATGTTTATTTTGTTAAAATAATAGTAAGTCTTCATAGACCAGGATCAGACAAGGTTTTAAACCACTAGGACTATTTGCCAAACTGTATCTTTTAAATATAACTTAATCTTTATTTCACATATTCAAATGAGAATTTGTATCAAAACCATTCATTAGAACAAATTGTGAACATAGTTTGGCCAACTTGCCATATTTACAGGATTACTATCTATTCAACAAGTTCTTCTCAGGGTCAATTCACTCCAGCAAAAAAGAAAAAATACTTGTAATTTATATGATGGAGACTAAGCCAACAAATGAATAAATGATAAAAGCACATTGAGCCTACACTAACTGAGGCATACCAACCTAGCTATATTACCATATACAATCTTAAGTATGCAAAACCAGGATCTGATATATACAGTTAGTCTGATCACATTTTATGACTTGAAATTTAAGCAATAGGCTATTATTCACCAATTGCCCACTGAGAAGGCCCTTCTTAGTGCCTGGCCCTATATTAAATACTATACATATATTATTTAATTGTATCCTCTCAATCCTATGGCATAATTTTTAATATTAATGTAAATATAACCAAATGACTAAGACATCTCCAGAGCAGAGGCTATCATGTATTAAACATTAATAGTATATAGCTAGGCACAGTGGCTCATGCCTGTAATCCCAGTACTTTGGGAGGCCAAGGTGGGAAGATATCTTGAGCATACGAGTTCAAGACCAGCCTGGGCAACATGACAAAACCCTCTATTTGCATCTACAAAAAATACAAAAATTAGCCAGGTGTGGTATCCTGTGCCTATAGTCCCAGCTACTGGGGAGGCTGAGGTGGGAGGATCACCTGACCTGGGGAAATCGAGGTTATGTGATGGTACCACTGCACTCCCACCTGGACCACAGAGTGGTCTCAAATCAAATTTTTTTAAGTGTTTAATGACAACCATCTTGCCTTAATGAAAAGAGTCTGTAGCAGTCATTGTGGGTTGCTTACACAAATCCATTCCCTACTCCCACCCCCAACCCAACTTCCTACTACCTGTCAGACCTTTTGTTTGGTATGTCTATACTCAGGAAGGTTATCCCTTAATCCAGAGCAGAAGGTATATCTGGATTACTCTGAGTCAGCTGTACACCTTTGCTCTTACCAGTGATAAAAGGAATACGCATTTTGCACAATTCAGATTTAGGACAAGTCTGCTAGGGGTTTCTAGATTGTTTGCTTATAAAGAGAGACATATGGAAGAAACAGTTCTTTTTTCCCCTCAATGGACATATTGGTATGTGCAAATGTCATGCACAAGCTTCTACAACCACCCCAGTGCCAGGTACACTGAAGATGGCAGTGATGAAAAACAACAAGAACCTGGATCCTTGATGATACTGCAAAGCCCTTATATTTAACAATCCTGAAGTCACTAACGTAACTCAGGACTTAACAGTTAATGAGAAAATAAACCCCCAATTTTTCAAGCAGTTTGGGAGCTGGGTTTTCTGCAATCTCCAGTGCAAAGTACCCTAACGAATAAAGGTATTAGCGAACAACAATTCTTCTCAGGGCTTGTTTTAAAACAAGAATTTAAAGCATAAGCTTGATCAGGACTATGAAAGGTATAAGAAGATGGATAGCAATGTATGTATTCTCCCTGGAGAATATACACCTGAAACACACAGCATCCAACAGCAAAGGTACAGGAAAGTTTTCAAAGCACCCCAACAGTGAAAATGTCAAAGTCCCAAAGTGCTCCTGGAGCTTGGAAAAGTAACACTGATCCTCATGCCACACAACGGAAACTACTAATAACAATTAATAAGAAACAATTAAAAAGTAAAACACGGGGCTGGTAGGGCAAGGTATGGAGATTCTCTCTGATAGATAATTCCAGTATGTTTTAATGGATTAAGGTTTTATTAAAAATCTGAAAAAAAACTGCACCACTAACTCAGGTTAATCCTTAAATACACGAAGACCTATTACCTCTCCAGACACTATCTTCATCACAAGTTGTGTCAAGCTACTTAAAATGTTTACAAGAATTAAATAGGAGCACAACATGAATGCAATGTAATTACAACTTTATTAACAGCACACTACTGAAAAGACACCTTAGTTTAAATGTTTTTAATGGAAGTATATTGGCAAAGATAGGTCATGGTACTTTTAGAAAACAGGCAGAATGAGTTTTTCCCTCTAGATAGTAAAATAAACAACTATTTAATATATTCCCAAATCATGATTGTACCTGTTGCCTTTTGGCTGCCATAATGTTCAGCTTATCCACTTCAGGTTTTAGGGCTTTATACTGTATTCCTAAGTCTTGTTCATTGCCAGCATTCCTTAACTTCAAGATACCATCTTCCACCTATTTTTAAAAAAAAAAAAGACCGCAAAAAACAAAAATTCTTAAGTCTGTAAATAAAGACGATGACATTCTAGAAATTTTCATTCCTGTTAACAGATACTCAAAAAGCAATCCAAATTTAACTCTCTTGAGTTTGCACGGTCCTCTAACATTTAAACAGTGATTACACAGGATCTTCATAGGAAGTAGGAAAGACACTAATATTGGCCTCTATCTAAAAGTATAAAATTTAACATATCTTGGTTTCTGAACTCCAGAACTCTACTAGTACAAGGAAATATTTAATCACTATTGGAAAAAGGGAAGGACTCAAAACAGTATCTTTGCTACAAGCTCTTCAAGCCAAGACAACACTGGCTCACAACAGTCAGGATGTTATATACTTGGAATAGAGGAGAGTAAATGGAAATTAAGCAAAAACATCCCTGGTGCATTGAGATAAACCAAATTCAAAACCAGACTAAATACTAGGGAATGCTGAACTAAGGAAGGCCAGTAGCAGTCTTACCGTGATAGAACAAATTACTGACACAGGCCTGTATACTTACAACTTTCAGCTGAACAAGTAATTTGTAGACATCTGCCATGTCAGCCAAAATCAGCAACCGGGTAACAGCAGAGAGCAAAGCTCGAGCTGCCCGAACCATGTTGCCTCGCTTCACAGAAGAGCAGGGATCATCTGCGAACTCTCCCGCGGCAGTCTTCATCAAATCACCTTTTTACAGAATGAAAAACAAACTCAGATAGAATTAACCCAAATAACTGAGCTACATTTTTAAAAATATAAAAATAATCCAAACATTGTGTATTTCATGCACAAATTTAGTTTAAGACTTCATTTTTGTTGTTTGCTGTACTTTAGTTTTACAGCTATCACTTAAAAAAGCATCTTCATATATTGCTGGTGAAAGCAAAATATATAGAAAGTGAAAAATATTTCTCTTTGATCTATTAATGTTCCTTTCCAAAAAAGGGACAATGTGTATCCAAAAAGAGAAAGATTTAAGATTTGAACAGGAAAAAAAAAAAAAAACTTACCTAATGTAATCTACTCATATCCATAGAACAATACAGAACAGGGAAACAATTATGCAGAACTGCCACAGTTCATTAATCATCCTAACTATATAATACGTACAGCCTTAAAGAGACTCACTGGTATGTGAAAATACAGAGTTCAGCCACTGATTCATTCATTTCCTTCACAAATCACTACGAAAAGTTCAAATGTTCAACAATAAGCATGTAGTTAAGTAAATTATGGTGTAGCTACAATTGACTATTAAAATATTTTTATATATATGAAAAATGTTAAGCAGAAAAAATGAAATTATAAATGTATATGTTTCTTTTTAAATACAGAGGAAAGACTGGAGTCAAAAGGCAAATAATAGTTATGATTAGTTTACACACTGCCTTTACATATTTGGTACTTATAAACAGTTTCTATAATGAAGAGGTATCTATAATTTTTTTAAAAACTAGATAAAAACACATAAAATCGCTTGTACCATAGTTATTAGGAATACCCGATTTATACATTCCTGAGCTCAAGATTTTATTTATTTATTTATTTATTTTTTTTTTTTTGAGATGGAGTTTCACTCGTTACCCAGGCTGGAGTGCAATGGCACGATCTCGGCTCACAGCAACCTCCGCCTCTTCGGTTCAGGCAATTCTCCTGCCTCAGCCTCCTGAGTAGCTGGGATTACAGACACACACCACTATGCCCAGCTAATTTTTTGTATTTTTAGTAGAGATGGGGTTTCACCATGCTGACCAGGATGGTCTCGATCTCGACCTCGTGATCCACCTGCCTAGGCCTCCCAAAGTGCTGGGATTACAGGCTTGAGCCACCGTGCCCGGCACCAGCCATCCCAGTGCTTTGTGAGGCTGAGGCAATAGGATTTCTTGAGCCCATGAGTTTGAGGCTGCCATGAGCCATGACTGCACCACTGTACTCTACCATGGGTGACAGAACAAGACCCTGTCTCTTAAAAAAAAAAAAAAAATGTAAGAATTTATAACATTTCCCAGAAACTTGTGAAACTTATATGTTCTGTCAATTGTGTCTATTAAAATTATTTCCGGTGCCCACTGTCACTCTTTTCTTATAGCTAGAAACAACTAAAGGGCCACTGTTGTCTTGTTCACTGGTTATACAAATAGGGCCTGTATGGAGACTATCTTTGGAATCCTGGAAAAACAATTACTCCCTCCTTTGGCTGACCAAGCCCACTTCAGTTCAGATTAAAGCCTAAAAGCCATTCACTCTCTCGTCTTCCATGAATTTGTTTAAAAACAACAAATAAAAGGCACTTTCAAGAAGCCTACCTATTTCTCAAAAGACCTACCAAATTTCTCCTGGCTATCCTCTTTGGATACACAATAGAAGCACAAGAGGGGAATTACACAGTTAAAAGGCTTTCCTGGATCTAATGCAGTCTTCTCTTAGATCTTCAGGAAGATACAGACATATGGCAATCATTACGTGGATTCGTAATATTAATGCTGATAACTCATGGTATTTTAAAAGATGTAGCACATTCATTCTTTTGTTTAACAAATGTTTGAGCACCCATCACACATCAAGGGCTATGCTGGGTGCCTGTGATCCAAAACACAAGAAACAGCCAGTGGCCTCCTGGAACTCTATGGAGGGAGAGACAGACAATTAACAGCTGGTTAAGACAAGGCACCTAGTCTCAAAAGGTTCACAAATTATAGAGTATTACAATGTACCCCAAATTAAATAGCCTCATGAACAAGGTGCTAAGGAAATATACTAGAGGAAACTTCGCTCGGGAAGAATTTATCTGCAAAGCCTTGCAGATTGAGATATTTGCCTTAAAAAAATATTAATACTGTCTTAGGCTGGGCATAGTGGCTCATGCCTGTAATCCCAGCACTTTGGGAGGCCAAAGCGGGTGATCACCTGAGGTCTGGAGTTTGAGATCAGCCTGGCCAACATGGTGAAACCCCATCTCTACCAAGAAAATACAAAAAATATAGCCAGGCATGGCAGCGGGTGCCTGTAATCCCAGCTACTCAGGAGGCTGAAGCACAAGAATTGCTTGACCCTGGGAAGTCAAGGTTGCAGTGAGCCGAGATCACACCACTGTACTCCAGCCTGGGCAACAAGAGCAAAACTCCGTCTCAAAAAATGTGTGAGTCAGCCTCTCTCTCTCTCTCTCTCTCTCTCTCTCTCTCTCTCTCTGTGTGTGTGTGTGTGTGTGTGTGTGTGTGTGTCGTGTCTTAAACAATGTGTGTGTGTGTGTGTGTGTGTGTGTGTGTGTGGTCTTAAACAGTATGTGTGCATGTGTATACTGTCTTAAACAATATTACCATCAAATGAGAGTAAGCAAGAGATGCTGACCTTATATAATAAGCAGAACTTCACCTTATTTAGCACTTACTACACACTAAAAACAATTTCCAAAACACAAAGCTGAATATACCATCCCTGCCTTCAAATAACTTATCCAGAAAAGATGGATATGACCATTAAGAAGTTACGTGCGTTTTAACATACAAGCTGTAAGAAAGAAAACACAAAGTGTCATGGGAATTCAAAGGATGAAGCACCAACAACCAGTTTGGGGAAGAAATGAAATGCCAGCAATAGCTTCATGGAAGGAATGGTACTCTGAAATGAACCCATCCCTCAAAGGACAGGAAGGATGTGGGCAGCAGAGTTAAGGAAGTTACCACCACCTCAAGCAGAAGGAACAGTAACATAACAATGTCCAACACTGGCTGGGCGCAGTGGCTCACACCTGTAATCCTAGCACTTTGGGAGGCTGAGGCAGGCAAATCACATTAGGTCAGGAGTTCAAGACCCACCTGGCCAACATGAGGAAACCTCATCTCTACTAAAAATGCAAACAGCCAAACATGATGGCAGGCACCTGTAGTATCAGTTACTTGGGAGACTGAGGCAGGATAATTGCTTGAACCCAGGAAGCAGAGGTTGCAGTGAGCAGAGGTCACACCACTGCACTCCAGCCTGGGTGACAGAGCGAGACTCTGTCTCAAAAACAAACAACAAAAAAAACCAGTCCAACATTTATTAAATATCTACTCTATGGCACTATACATTTTTTTTTTCTGAGACACAGTCTCGCTCTGTTGCCAGGCATCAGGCTGGAGTGCAGTGGCGCAATCTTAGCTCACTGCAACCTCCACCTCTTGGGTTCAAGCAATTCTCCTGCCTCAGCCTTCCAGGTAACTGAGACTACAGGCACACGCCACCATGCCCAGCTAATTTTTCTGTATTTTTAGTAGAGATGGGGTTTCAACATGTTGGCCAGGATGGTCTCGATCTCTTGACCTCGTGATCCACTCGCCTTGGCCTCCCAAAGTGCTGGGATTACAGGCTTGAGCCACCACGCCCGGCCACATATTTTTAAAATTCTATCACCCACCTAGAAAGTAGGTGGTATTAGCCTTTGTTTATAAATAATACAACTAAAGCTTATACAGATTAACTAACTTAATTCCTGCCACCTAACTAGTAAAGGGCAGAGCCTGGATTTGTAATGCCATTATTTATGCCCTTTGTAGAGCCACTTATCATACTGAGGTATACAATAAGAAGCTTGTATTATTATAATTCATATATCAATTAGGCTTAGAGGCATAATATCCAGTCTGAGGAGTAAGGGATATGTTTAGAAGCAGCAGAAGGTAGGAGGAGAAAGGCCATAAACAAACAGAATTCAATTCCCTGAACCAGAGGAAAGTCAAACTACAGAGGATTAACCTATCTAAAGTACATACAATAAACCTAACCAGAGAGATGGATCAGAAAGCCACAGTGAGAGCCCAGAAAAGAGAAGGGTAATAGTAAACTACAAAGGCAGAGGTCAAAAGATCTGATCACCTTTGATTAGGCACAGTAGATTATTTAAAGGTTGCAAGCTAGGGTGTTTCTGAGCAGGAGAAGAAGGCCAAAGCTTTATGAAAACATGAGTTGAGAAAGATTTTTTAAAAAATAAATAAAAAGGCCAGGCATGGTGGCTCATGCCTGTAATCCCAGCACTTTGGGAAGCCAAGGTGGGCAGATCACCTGAGGTCAGGAGTTCAGGACCAGCCTGACCAATATGGTGAAACCCCATCTCTACTAAAACTACCAAGAAAATTACACAGGCGTGGCGGTGGGCACCTATAATTCCAGCTACTCCTGACGCAGGAGAATCACTTGAACCTAGGAGGTGGAGGGTGCAGTGAGCTGAGATCATACCACTGCACTCCAGTCTGGGCAACAAGAGCAAGACTCCATCCCCCCCAAAAAAAGAGAACTCTTGAGAACATCAGAATAGGGAAAGGAAGATTCTCTACTGAAAGAAACAGAAAAGAGCCAAGACTGCCAAAAACAAGAAAGCAAGACTTCTAAGAGAAAACTGGTCGACCAAAGCAAATGTAGACATAGTGATCCATCAACCATAATTGAGAATCCAGAAATGCATTCCGATTTTAACAAGGGTGACAAGAATACTCAGTAAAGAATAGTCTTTCCACAAATGGTGCTAAGACAAGTGCAATATGCAAAAGAATTCAGTTGGGCCCCTATCTCATACCATATACTTACAAAATTGATCAAAACTTAAATGTTAGAGCTAAAAATTATAAAACACTTAGAAGATATCACTGGTGTAAGTCTCCGTGACCACTGATTCACAATGGTTTCTTAGCTATGACACCAAAAGTACAAAT